ATTCTAATTGAAATGTAATGTATCAAACAGTCGATCAATTAATTGGATACAAACAATGTGAGATTTGATACACACATCTGCGAATCAATTTACGTTGTTCCAAACTTCAAACCAGCGTAATAAAAGTGAACATGAAAAAAGGAAGGCCAGGAAGTCATAATAATAATAACAGCAACATAGAAAATATAAAGAGAAAAACAAATCAAAATGCATTCTATGATAATAAAACTCAAGATTTACAAGATGTAAACATTCGCTCACGATTGTAATCAAACGCAAACTATATTATCTTTAAACTATATGTGAATATTTTTCAAAATGGTTTCTAATTGATTTCACTAGACAAAAGAAAGCTATTATAAAAGTGAATATAAACCTACTTAAAAATCTCATTCAATATGAAGCTGGATTATACGGTCCAAAATGAACAGAAAAAGCATAAGAACATAATTGCTAGAGAGTTCGTTAGAAGATTATGCTTAATTTGTCACAAACCAAGATGATCAGAGATAGCTTTTGTTGCAAAAAAATAATTTCTAAGAATAGATATAATGAGTAAGAGGAAAATTTTAGTCATGGTTCAATTTGAATCGGCTTACTGTATTTAAATATGAAATGTAAATATCCTACTGAATAAAGTAGATTACTTTTGATAGTCCTTTCATAAGTCAACTAATGCCTTTATTTATCGAATTGATCTTGTTTTTAATAGTTAATGGATAAATATCACTGGGGTAACAGTAGTGTGAAGAAGTACAAACACTATATGATTTTCCGTCTGTGTAAAACGATGATTTAGCGATAAACATAAACGAGTTTTATCTAATGTGCGTATGGAATTGAAATCTTGCACCATCTACTTCGATTTGGGTAACTGAGTATTGTTAATTATTTTATTTATTTAAACACATAAACATTGGTACAAGAAGGCACCAAGTAGATATGTGCCACATAAATCATTCGATTTGTGTAAGGGCTGTGATACCGCCCGGGTGCCCAGACCGAAGCAGGTGGTTTTCTTAGGGGGCCACTCCCCGAGCCTTTGACGTAAAGGTCTGACCCACAAGGTAGTGGAGCATCGTGAGGAGATGCAGTCCCATGGTAGCCGGTGACCAACGATTGGTTCATACGCCATTCGTTCCCGCAGGATACTGGAGCCCATTTGCACCATTGGTTTGGAATCCGGTTAAAGCGCCGGAAATTCGCTTTTCGTCCTCCCATTTTCGTAAACAACACCTACGTCACGAGAAGGCAGTGAGTAGGACTTCCCTGACAAAGGCTGTATGCGCGTGGCCATGTGAGAGCATTTCGAGAGGGAAGGCGGGCCCACCCCACTCTCGGCCATACCAGGGCATACGTAAACACGTGAATTAAAGTATAGTGTATGGACGTGAATTTGACTAATGAGGTACACTATTTCTATATTTACATCACAATTACGAAATGGTTTAAAATCGACTACAAAGGATTAATTGCATCTATTCTCTAACTTTTCTACAGATCTTAATACACCTTATACTTTTTTCTCATTTTTGATGCACGATGTTTACTGGTGGTGTAGAAGTAAGTTAGGAGTGAACCAAACGAAAACGTGACATCACTTCATGAAATCCCTAACTGTTGGATTAGGTCATGTTGGTAGTGAAGGCTACCTAGTTGGGGTTCATGCAATAACTGGGATCAGTGATTGCAGACGTTGGGTGATATGGCTTAGAATCAGTCACATTGGTGTAAATGAATTCACTTAGTTTATTAATATGTTTATGCCTTACTGAAATTAAGTGTTGTAGAATTTATGTTAAATTCCCTAATATTTTTCATCTTCAATTCACTAACCATACATCAAAATAAATCTCACTGTAATCACATAAGAACTAATTATTGATGATTGCTGCCTACACTAATATATTTGAGCTAAGTAAAAGACATTATCCATTAAAAATATGATTAGTAATATATTTGAAATTTTTTATCTAGTTTGGAGACTAATATCAATGTTATTATTGTGTTTTTCTTCTACATTTCGATATACCACGCATCACGTAATAGTGAACACATATGCTGTCTGACATCAAATTTTAAAAGCATTAAACATAATGTTAAGTGGTTGAATTTAGTTGACAGGAAAGAAGAGGCTTTCACATTCAGTTATTCATTAGTCATCAGAATGGTGAATAGGCAATCATACAATAAGAGATAGAACACATTCAACATTTCATCCACACAGAAGGTCGGAGGTCATTCTGACCACAAATTGTTCTATTAGTCTTTACAGATCTCGATTAAACGTTTGATTTACATAAAATTTTTTTGTACTTTATCTGCATAATAGCCCTAAACATTTGGTGATTTTTCTGATATTTTTTCCAAAGTTTTATTAGGAATCACATTAGCCTAGTTCATGTATTTATTGAACACACTATGTATCTCTTGAAAATGATCATTACGAGAATTCCAGATACTCAGTAGGATAGTAAGTTTAGTTATATTTTTAAGTTATTAGAAAGGAAGATAAAATATTCGGGCAAACTTTCTGAGCACATTAGAATGAATCAACACCTTTCATGACAGAGTTTTATCATTATGTCGTTAGTATGTTTCAATTTTATAAACTGATGGAAAACTACACATAATGTGTTTATAATTATTTTCAACTTAAGTTATTCAACATTTTTAAATACATAATTAAACAATCTAATTTATTTCATTATCTAATCAAATCAACTATTATCATTACTTATCGGGTTCTTAAGCATTTAACTCAGTTATAGGATATGTATGAGCATGTATGTGTACATATGTATATAAATGTGGTTAAAATCATAGCGTATAACTATTGCCAAAGGATAAATTAACTTAGTTATGTATACTGCTATCAAAGAAGCTGATAGCCAATAAGCAGACAGATCGATATATTAAGCAAGCTGATTATTCTTGGAAAGCGAATAGATAGATACAGTATAAAAAATTTCCGTTATCCTTATTACTAGTTTCAGTTACTTTATGTGAATAGAAATGGTCTTGTTCAGCTAAAATTCAAATATGTCCCGTATGATAAACATTTTCTAACACCATCGAAATGTTAACCTCGTGTAAGATGAATTTGAACCAAAATTTTGAAATAGTTATTTAGGATATTTGAAGTTTAGAAAATGAAGAAATCTCATTTTTGAATGTGATTTTGCTGATGAAGCTTTGACTCAAATAGGGGCTTGCTGAAAATTTTATATAAATTACTACCTGTTTTACCAAGTTTACATGGAAATTAGAATTCGTTCTTATGAACAACGCGAAGTGACAGAAACCCAGTCAATCAATCATAAGCTACGTAGAACCTGGGACTTATATGCATCGATCAAAGTTGCCATAACATATCGGCACAGAAAGATGAAATCATCGAGACAAATTTTATTATCAGTAGCAATAGCAGTATTAGCAAAAGAAAATAGTAGACAAACTAGAAGACTGAACGAAGTTGCAAAATAAGAGTTACTTAAGATAAAGAGTGAATACATCCGAGCCACTGGAGCCGATTTCGAGACACGTCAACGACAGAAATGAGAATATATTTATGATTTTTGAAATATAAGCTACATAAATTATTTTCCATTATTCTGAAACCTAATATGAGTGAATTGGGTGGGGGTTTAGATCTGGTTCTATATAATTAGGTTGGGGTAGTTAAATATTATCTATAACTAGCCTTCACAGGAAAAAAATGAAGGAAACTAGGTGCACAGGCTCGCGTTTAGTTACCAAATTAAACGAGCCTATATAAATTCGAAACATTTAAACTCAAAACTAAGAAACATGAAATGAAGGTGGAATTAAACAGAACTACGAAGAAACTGAAATAACTCATCAGTCTAGGCAAACACTATAAGACAAAAAAACTGACAAACAAGAACAAAGGCATGGTTAGAAAATGAGATCGTGGATGAGTCTGTTAGGGATCATTAGGTTATTTACGACGACGGACTACCGTACTGACGGGTGCCGAATAGCATGAAACCTTGGTTACCTCGAAACACCTTCCGAAAATAAGTGCGTATCGAAAGCAGAAAACGAGAAGCATTCAAAAAGTGAGCGTGATAAATTCTTATTTTCCTTTGTAATTTGTCTATTGATCATCGTTAGAACAAAAAAGTGAACACTTAATACATACAAATGGTTCACCTTTACGAGATGGTTCAGATGAGTGTTAATTGAATTTTTCAATTCATACTACAATGAATGACATCTGGTATTCATAATTATGTTAAGCTGTCTCTCTAAGTGTACAAAACTTCTAGTGTCAGTATCGAACAATTAAATTAAACTTAGAGGTATAAAGTTTAACGTACTAACCGGTCACTGAAATGCTTTAGGCCAACCTGCAACGACTGGTGGATAAAAAAACGAATACACGTGTCCAATACATCAAAAAATGCAACAGCATTTGGAAAGAATTAACCTGAAAAACAGCTGTCTTAAATTAAGAAAAAGTCATATTTTATTATTCTAAGCGAAACAGACAGTGTTTTTATTCGAGCTCAGCAATCTTGTTAGCTAGTGGGCAGTGATAAGTAGCTGACGGAACCATTTATATGAGGGCAGGGGGTTATCTACAGGGTATCAAATAATCAGACTTAATTAATTGAGAACCCTAATACAAAGTAATCTATTTACCATGAGACTGATAAATAAAATAGGAAAACCAACGAAATGGGATGATTAAAAAAAACTAGGAAAATAAATCGATATTCATGGAGTCGAATGTGTTGTCACTTAATGTTTTAAGATGAATGTTCGCATATTTCTCGGAGCTAAGTATGATTCTCATACACAACTTTAAGATAGTGCTTCATGGTTCAGATGACCTAGAAAAGTCGTATTTCAATTATACGCTAAATTAATGGCCTCGAGACTATCAGCATGACTATAGGTTCGGAATCGCTTCCCCAACAAAACTGGAAAAAACAGACAAAACGTTACAATAGCTAAAAGTACAAGAAACTTACTGACGAATTCAACTCTGTCTTTCTTTGTAGTTCCTTCATCCTTTTTTGTTAAGCACTGACCAGTAGGAGAATTAGGCTTTGGGCGTGGGTGAGTTAATTTGCGCTTAATATTGCTGAACATACTGTATAAACTTTATTTCAAATGAGGACAATTTAAATGCAATGAACAGTTGATCAGTGCACGAAGACCAACAAACAAAATATAAAATACAGTATTATGCAAACAGAATTCAATGGAATTAAAACGTCTCCAGATAACACTTTGAGTGTTAGACTGAACAAACTGATGATAAATATGACATGAGAGAAACTACACCCTGGAAAGGAGAGCACTTGTGAGGAAAACGGCTAATTTCACCCTATTGAAAGACGCGCATCGTATAACGTCCAAGCGCTTGGTTTTCTAAAACAAACATACGCTAGTAAAATGTCCTAATAATTCATAGATGAATTTAATTGCACAAATCGGATCATTTTTCAAAGTCTTTATTTTCAAAATAACCCCAAATACACGAAAACTATAAGAAAAATGTCCCTGATTTAGAAATAAGATGCATCGGAACAGAATACAAAATGTGGTTGGGAAAATTTGATAAAATTCGGCTCAAGTGTTCTTTACGAGCTCCGAGCGACTCACATACTCGACCCAGAAATAGGATTTGAGCAATAACGTTACATTAAGGTAGTTTGGTTTATTTATTCGATCGCAAAAAACATAATAGTGGAATTTGTGTCGATCCAAATTTTCACACAACATATTTTCTCTTCGTTCAGTAACACTGTAATCAAGTTGAATGGCTTATTTGAGGGACACGATTTGGTTTCCCATTGAGGGTGTTCACTGACCAGTTTTTTGACGTGGTGGGATATTGGCACTACTATACTCTGTTCGTTTAGAGTGAAGTCAAATTTGAATGGCTCATTCGCCTCACGTTTCTGTCTACGCTTTCATCTACTCGAGTGGATAAGCGTAATCAAAATTTGGCGGCGATAATGCTGTTTATTACTAACACCAATTAGAAACCTTTAGTAAAATAGTAATTACGAATCGTAATTATTGTTATTGGAGTAAAACCTGTCCAAAATAATTGGTTCCCTTGGTGTTATACGCAAAAACATATGTTTTTACCCCTGGACGTAAATGGCACTAGATGGAGCAGACAAATAAGACATTTTGGCATGAAAATCTTTACGTAAAACGCAGAATGTCGATATAATGTCACTTCATGTTATATAAAGTAGGGAGCAGATGTTTGGCTCTTTCGGTCGATTCGCATGGAAGCACCCGAACAAACGTGTTAACGAATAAATTCCTTAACCTTAAATGTGCTCAAGTGCATTGTCACTCTTCTTTAGACATGTAATTACTCTCTAAAAACGGTATTTTAAGTGAGGTCTCACGAAGATGAATCATAAAATTTTTTGGAAGTTTATGAATTGACTGCAACGTTTGAAAACCTTTAGGAACTGGTCCGGTGCGATGTGCATCCGTTCTCAGTTTATACTTTACGATTATTCTGGGAGTGATTTTCTGTTGATGGTGTTCTGGTATAAATTACCATGTCGAAAGTGCATTAGTAATTCTTCACTAGAATTCGTCTCCGAAACGCAGGTTTCAGGCCATTTAGCTATTTTTTGTAAATGAGCATGGAGTTATGGGTTTACTGGGCTTATATTTCTTGTCCGTCAGACTTTTACATAATTAAGCAACAGAAATGTAGGTGACTGCGGCAGTCGTGGTAGATCATGGACGCAGACTACGAATAAAAAGGCACCTCGTATTATTTCTTGGGTCAGTTAAAAATTCTCCATCCTCATGGCATCCAGTTTACTCTCGTTTTTGGTCTCCCAGTGCAAATGACATTTCCTTGATACATTGTGTACATTTAGGTTGTTTTGTACTTATATTTTTTAACAGTACCATCTTGAAAGCTTTGGTATGTTATTACTAGGAAGTTATTGTCCGTTATCATTACTAGAAAAACCAGTGGCACAAGTATATAGTGAAGTTCCTGGAATTCACACAAATGTTACTGTAGTGACACCGGTTCTGATCACAGAATCTTTGAGGCTGAACAAACGATCATTGAGGAGACTTAAATTAGACGTCAAACACTTGCACAGGGTCACCAAATTTAGACGCGGGAACACTTAATCAGTACAGGTGGCCCGTCTATACGGGCATAGTCACTCTATGCATGCTCTCGCTCTTTCCACTATGTACATTATTCTATTACCACATTGAATGTGTTCTGTTTTGTTTAATTAGAGGACACACTACAACTGTCCCGATTTGTTGAGTCAGTATAGAAAATAATATGACTTATGAGCAACATCTCATGAATTGGCTATACATATCATGACAAATCCACAATATTAAATCAGGTCTTGTATTCTAGCAACGCAAAACTGTGCACTAATACTGACCTCGACCTTAGTCTCATAGTGCGATGAACTTGAAAACCTTATCGATATGAACTTTTATGAAGCACACCAATTGTGAGACAATAAAGTGTACCATTTTAGTTTTGTTGATTATTCTGAGCTCATTCACAAGAATAATTGAGGACTCTTAACTACCGCCCTTTTTTACGTGCAACTGATTAAATGCATGTCTAAACCATTGAATTAAATCTCTAGACTATATCCACTGAAGATATATGCATGTTTTGCGTCTATCTCAATACACTTCATTCGGTCATCGCACTTCAAACGTTCTTTACGCAGTCATGGTACGTTTGATATAAGACCAACCTCAAACCTTTCGAATATGGCTCTTTAATACAGCGCTATTGCGACTGATTATATGAAGGGTTCAAATAAGGATGCATGCGAAGTTGATAGATATTTTGCACCAATGAAGGTTAATCAGATTCATAGAGGATTAGCTGCTAAAAAATTCTGCATTTCAAAACATGGTTCGTGTCAATAGTCAGTGGCCGCAGAAACTACATCTATAACCTGACCGAGCTAGATAATTTTGTGATTCGTAGCTCCCCTATGTAAAGTACACTTTTTAAAAGGAATATGTCAGTTTAAGCCAACAGCCTCTTTAACCAACCCCATCATTTTTGCCTGGCTCCCCATATATAAGTCATCTTATACTAGTGGTGTTCTGAAAACTTTGATGATCGGATAATTCCAGAACATATATGTTTTCTACCTCTAAAAGATCTGCTTACCAACCAAATGTCAGTACAGCTAAATGGCATATTGATTATCAAACAGCCATGTTGTTTGGGCTACCGACAATGGAAACTGTCGCAAAATTAAACATCACTAAACGCTGATAAAAATATGACGACAAAAGACAGAAACAAGTCCACCGCCATAAAGTACCTATAATATTGATGTAACGCAACAAGGCGGAAATAAATGCGAATGATTTTCTCACATGTAATTATGTTCTGAAATTGTAACTCATCTGCCTTATGCGTTTTTTAGAGAAACCACTAAAGTTTGCTTGTTACGTGATGATCCACTGAGGACAGAGTTTCCTCAATCAACTTGCATTTACTCAGTTTATACATATCTCCTGCCAAGTTCTGAAGCGCATTGCAGAATAGATGTAAATGAACCAACGTGAATCTTAAACTAGTGCAGGAAATAAAATCGATGATGGTTGAAGTGGTTATGAACACAGATGGTGAACTAAGGAACACTTGAACAAGACGGAATAGCTAGCCCATTCAGGTGCTGCCTTTTTATCAAATATATTATTCTGTTCTTAGCACCAGTTACTGGGTGTCACGATAGGATGAGTTTGTATAGGTAACTACGAGACTTCCACGTAAAGTCTGATAGGTTACGAAGACACATTGTGGCAAATATACACTTGCGCAACAGGTTTGTTATTCATGTACTTAACACCAACCGAGTGTGTTACTCGTAATAACTGATGATTCCTTTGTACTACGAATTCCTAAATATGATAGATTCATTGGCGCTGATCTAGTTTTATCTACCGTAAACTGTACTATTTCGAGAGTCCTTGGTACACACAGTGATTTGAATAGCTCTAATAATCATATCGAGGTATAACAATAATAAAATTGCCAAAAATTACTGCTTAAGTCCATTCATAGAACGGATATGGGTAAATGGGGCTCCATCGACGTTGAATGTTTTTAAAGGCGGAGTTTTCCAAAATACAATCCTCAATCCTTTCCCTTTTACCCTTTGTGTAAGTGGCTTATCGGTTGTAGCAACGCCGTCTGTGTCATTCATCTCCGCTTATATCAATATTTGTAGATACACGCACAGGATCTTACTTACTTGCTTACGTACATCTGTTGCCCTACGTGGAGTAGCATAGATCATCCTCCAACATTCTCCACTCAACTCTGTCCTGGACAATCCTTCCCAGTTCTTCCCGGTTACTATTCATCCTTTTCATGTCTGCCTCGAATTTCCGACTGAATGTGTTGTTTAGTCTTCATATATTCCGTTTCCCTTCAGGATTCCAAATTAGCGCTTGCCTCAAGGCGCGGTATGATGACTTCCACAATGTTGTGTCTTATCCACATACAGCATTTTGTCCTAATTTCCTCGCAAAATGGAAGCTGGTTTGTTTTCTCCCACAGTAGGTTGTTGTTGATGATATCTGGTCAACGGACATTGAGTATATTGTGTGGATAGTTATCTATAAATACTTGTACTTCTTCACGATGGTTGTAGTAGTTCTCAAAGTTTCGGCTTCGTACAGTAAAACTGTCTACATGTTCGTGTCAAAGATTTCCAGTTTGATGTTGGCCTTCAGATAGTTATTTTGAGTTCCATATGTTGTTCAACTGTAAGAATGCTGTACTTGTTTCGCTAACTACAGCCTTTACGTCGTCATCAAATTCTTCCTGTTCATCGATGATGCTTCTCACGTACGTGAAAGTTCTTACCTCTTCCAGAGTTTATCCATCAAATGTCGACAGGTCAGTGTTCTCCGTGTTGTATTTGAAGGTCTTGCTTTTCCTTTGTGTATACTGAGACATACTAATGCGGAGGCTGCCGCCACACTCGTTGTCTTTATCTACATTTGTTCGCGTGTATAGGACAGAAGGGCTGGGTCATCCGCGAAGTCCAAATCGTCTCATCGACTCCGAGACGTCCATTGTAATCCGTTCTCCACCTCAGATGTCGAGGTCTACATAACCCAGTCGACCACCAGGAAAAAGAGAAGGGGAGAGTAAGCAGTCTTGTCTGACTCTAGTGCTCACTTGGAACGCGTCTGTCAAATGTCCTTTATTCAGGACTTTGCACTGTAGTCCGTCGTATCAATTTCGGGTGATTTTGATGATGTTGACACGGAGTCTCAGATAGAATAATATTATAGGATGAACTTAATTCACCAGCTGAATAGATATGTGAGCAGTTATCAAAGTATAGTCATGCAAATAAATAACAACAATCTATCATAATACAGCACAATAATCGAGATTAGGTTACTTAAAGTGATGGAGTAAAAAGACATGAATCATAATAAGCAGTAACATTAGACCTATGACTCACCGTCAGGATGCCTCTGCCAAAGGCTTCAGGGTCTGATGAACTATCCGTTAGTCATTTCATCACCTGGACGAAAAACTGTCCGACTTTTGTGGGGCCGCATTTATAATGTGAGATTCAATAGTAAGTCCCTGTTTCAAGTATGAAGTAGATAATGCTAGAACGAGTTCAACGGCGAAGGATCAAAGTGGTAAAAGGTTCCATGGATTCACTTTGTGGAGATAGACTGAAACTCATCAACCTTCTTCTGTTGTCTTACCGCAGGTTTCGAGTTGATTTAGTACTGGCTTAGCGTATACTGAACGATTATTTCTGTGTTAATATGTTCTATCTTTTCCTTCCGTCAAGGGCTGATTACTTGAGAGGACATTTCAGGAAAATTCACTACCAGGACCGAATCGTTCATTTCTGGAGTTTCGTTTCATATATCGAGAATTAAATTACTGATGTTCTATACCAGAACACGTAATATCAACACCTCCTTTTGATGCATTTCAAGTCCAAATGAATCTTCACGGCACTACGAATTGCAAGGACTAATGCAAATCGACTAATCGCCTTTCCTTACTACTGAAGACTGTACCGTTATTATAAGTCGTTTTTGCAATTCAAATTATCCAATAGCATAGCTAAACGAAATCTGGCAGTTTTTCAAATTGCCTGATCAACCAATCATCTTGCAACAGTTTGACCTTCAATCATTCGCAACCTCCGTCAGTGGACGATACCCCTAAAGCGTTGCCAGTACGATAAATAAGGTAAATACAGCAAAACAGTATTGTCTTTAGCCTCGTTTGAAGTGCTTCACATTTCATTCGATGTTCAAGAATTACTTAGTTATCAACTGGTTTGTATTCTTTAAGTCCAATTAATATTTGTACAGTACTGTGCAAATTAGAAATTGATATTAAGTTCTAAGCTAGAACTTAAGTTCTAAGCATTAGAAAGTGTGATCTGTGTTAGCTCAAACGTTACAATTCGAGACTATGTAGCTATAGCTACGGGTATACCCGGGATCCAGTTCTCAGTATACTGGCTATAACCCGGTAGCATGTACGTAGCCTGCACGTGCAAACTAATGTAGTGCTACATTAGAAATTCACTTTTACCCTAAAGGTACTAATAAAAGCTGATAGTGTGAGTTCGTATCAGGTACTTCAGTAGTTATAACATGCTGAGAAGAAATGATTTTTAAATAGAAACGTTTCTCTTGGTTTTAGTGCTCTGTGTAAATGTTTTGTTAGATTAGCAGTTTTCGATTATGAGTATGCATTCGCCATCATAAATATATAATTTTACTTAAGTTCTTTTCAGAAAAGTCGCACTAGTCGTATTTATAGGGTGTTGTTATTTTGTATTAGCTAATGTAAAGTGTGCTTCCTGTGGTTTTGCAGTTAGGGATTGAGTTATTTCATCGAAATAATCGGTTTGCGCCTTAAGTGGACATAAGAAATAAAGTAATATCACTTGTTTGATTGGAATAAGCTAGTTGCACTCCTTAGTAGCACTATCATTAAACGTGTTTTCTGAAAATATCTCCATTTTAAAGCCAATTTCTGGGAGGTCTAGTTGACACTTTCCCTCATCTGTCAAGGCGAATGTTAGCTCATAACAAAATTCTAGGCACTCACTTCACCATTGGCATCAGCTTTTTGTTGAATATCATTGTCCATTGTTGTGTTGATGATAAAAGTCTCCAGGTCAAACTGTCTATTTTCATGTTTCCAGTTATTGCTTGTTCGAAGTAATTGGTTGTATATGGAGTCACAACACACAGCCACTGTCGTTAATTTCTATGATTGCCACATCTGAGTTCCTAGGTTTTAGAAGGTTGTTATAATGCTTTCACTAGAATCTATCATTTCATTTAAACTATAGCATGGAAGCGTCTTCAGAAGCCACGAAGAGACGGTTTATACCCCTATCCTTCCAAATCCTTACTCTTATTTAGTCAGACAATCCATAAACAAGTATTGATCGGAATGTAATCTGAATCTCTGCTGTAGTTCAATGTTTAGTTTATAAACCTTTACATGGCAGTCAATTTGTCTGTCATACACAAAGTGTTCGGTAAGAAAGCCACGTGCCTGTTTTTCGAATTATAAACCTGTTTATCTTCTAGACTCTAATAAGCTAAACATATGTATGTTAGAAAACATAATGGTTTTTTGTGACATTATTTTATTGGTCTAATTTTTGAAAATCTTTCGTTGTTACTTCAGTATGATAATTTGTTTTTTACTGATAGATGAATTTTAATTATTTCAATACTGTTCTCATCTTTTTGGCGAATTTCACTGTCTTTGTATTTGGGGCTTTCCACAATGAACATTGTATCCTTATAAATGTAATTCTATAATCCGTTGACTATTATTTTAACTATGCATAAAGTTATCACGTTTAATAGCTAAGGTCGTCTGCGACTTCTTCATTGTTCATCAAAAGTTCCGTAATGCAAATTAAGCTTCAACACACAACATTCACTCACTAATTAAACAGAAAAAACGGCTGATAAACTTAGTGAACATTTAGAACATTAGATATTATCCACAACTTTTTAGCTGTTATTTTTTTCATTTGATTTTCGGCCGTCGATGGCAACACTTTATGATATCATTTGACGTGCTCACGGGTGCACGAACAAACCTATTTGGCCTAAAAATTGAGGACAATACACATATATATAGAAGCATTCATGACCTTGAGGCTCCAATGCGAGCGCCTAACCTTCAGAATACTAAGTTGTTATGCAGTTGTGTACACTCCTAGCTTCAATCAACTTCCGGTTCGGCGGTGGTGTTTTTGTCATGCTAAACATAGTTGAAATTTACTGTCCACTGTCCCTCAAACATCCTAAAAGCCCTATATACAAACACCTCAGGCAGAGTAAGGGCATACAACCACCTCTCTTCATTGTTCCACTCAAGTAGTGGGGTTAGAAAGGGTTGCTCAATCTCACTATTCCTCTTCAACGTTGCCATCGATGACATTCTGGAAACAGCTCTGGTGGATGTAAGTAATAGCGGTGTGGATCTGTTGTCTGGGGAAAGACTTTTCGACCTTGAGTATGCGGATGATATTGTCTTACTGTCCGATAATACCCAAGCCATGCAATCCGCACCTAATCAGTTGGCAGTTAGTGTCCGTAGGTATGGTATGTGCTTTGCACCTTCGAAGTGCAAAGTACTTCTACAAGACCAGCAGGATCCTAATCTTGTACTCACCTGGATGGTGAGCAGATAGGAGTAGTCGAGAAGTTCGTGTATCTAGGTAGCTGCATAAGTGCTGGTGGTGGCGTGATTGATGAGATCAATTCACGTATAGTGAAAGCCATAGCGGTTTATGCCAATCTGGGCCATCTTTGGCGCCTTCGTGATGTTAGTCTGGCTGTAAAAGGTCGGATCTACAACGCGTCGGTGAGAGCAGTTCTGCTCTATGCTTGTGAAACCTGGCCTCTCCGAGTTGAGGATGTTAGACGACTCTCTGTGTTTGATCATCATTGTCTCCGAAGGATTGCTGACATCCAGTGGCAACATCATGTTAGTAATGCAGAGGTTCGGCATCGTGTGTTCGGGCACAGAGACGATAATTCAATTGGTGTCACCATCTTGAAACATCGACTCGGTGGCTTGGACACGTTCTACGAATGTCGTCCCAGAGAATTCCACGTCGTGCATTATTTGCCAACTCGGACTGGTTGGAAAAAGCGGAGAGGTGGTCAGTGCATGACATGGTGTTGTGGTATGAAAGAAAGCTGCAAAGGACTGGCTGGCGTCCGAGAGATGGAGCAACACAGTGGCTAGGGACGTTATCAGATATGGCTCAGAATAGAAGCCAGTGGCGATCATGCTGTAACCTTTTACTTTCTTCATAAAAAGTGGTTGTAACTTTTTTAACTGAAAGAATTCTTTCTGGTTGTACCTTTCTGTCTCTCCTATTATTATTATTTCACTACCATACACTAATTTGTGGTCATTATTTTTTTTACACACACCTTACATTCTTTATCTCTTCCCATTCTCATTGTTTTGTGTGGCGCATATGTATCTGGTGCCTCCTTGTACCAATATTTGTGTTCAAATAAATAAATAAAATGAGTATACTGCATTTTGGCTGCTAATTCAGTATACACTAGTCCATGCTGTCCAATAGAAACAATTATTATATAGCTCTACCTTCATTCACTGTTACCAGTAAGCATTTGTTTCAGAATCTATTTCTTTTACTCCACATATCATAGCTTTTCAACTAAAACTGAGAAATCTATTTCTAACCTGTTCATCGGTTGGTATTCATTTATTTTTTAGTAAAGTGCTCGGCGTAGGTATTTTTTCCAGTTGAAGACATCTTTCATCTTGGGGTAACTCCAGCTGAACAACTAGGTATCAATGAAGATCTGTTTCATACTAGGCTGTCAATGTGTGAAAAAGTATACCAACACAACTCTCTACAAAAAACTGAACCTAACACTTCCACATCTCGATTTTTATTTAAAAACAATGAAATTCTCAAAATTTCGTCGGTATTTCCACATATTCAGAGAGCTAGGAAAGGGTTTAGACTTTACAGCCTGACAAGTACAACCCTAGTTTTTGAATAGAACAGTAAAATATTTGACAAGCTATATTCTTATGGTCGAGTAGAAAAGAACTCTTAAGTATATTTTAGGATATTGTTTTATCAATAACACGATCAATCCGACTATCATGTCCACACATACTAATCACTACTTTATTAACCCAGTTGAATATCATTTATTTCGGATTCTATGTTGCTATCACACTGTTGTAATTCATCTCTCTATAAGTACACTCCTCTTTATTACAAGCCATTTTACTTAATTACATAACAAATAAAAGATAACCAAGCTTCTTTTCGTACGAAAAGAGAAATTCATGCGACGGAATTGGCTCGAATGCTGGCTGAAGTACCATCAGGACGACAAGATGATGTCGCTCTGAAAATTTTTCAAAACATTATTAATGTAAGTATTGTGTTTTTCAAATATTTTTCCCTCCGTTTTTTATTTTTGGAAGGTTACTGTCGCATTATATTATTAGGGATTTACGTCATGGTTGATTTGAAGGAGGAAGGACATCTGTAGAGTATTGCTACCCTCTAGACTTGAAGAGTTTAACTTCAGTCCTATGATTCACTGGCCTTTATTTGCTGAAGAGGAGTCCCAAATTTGGACAAAACTACTGTTCAGTGTTTTTTGGTCTTCAATAATACTCCAACGGATATTGGTCCGTTAAGAAAGCCGAATTCAATTTAAAAATTTACAAATTGCTGCTTAGTTTTAACTGGCCATTATAATATTTTCTTAAATGTTCGACCTACACGCATGTGTGTATATTATATGCAAGACTAATAGGAATGGTAGATTACTTTCAACTATTGAGATCACAGGGTATTAGGCTGCAAAACATGGCCATTAAGAGTACAAGATATTCGTAAGCTACTAGTATTTGACCACAGATGCCTTATAAATATTACTGGCATCTGCTGGGATCACCGGGTAAGTAATAGTGAGGTTAGATACAGGGTATTAGGGAATGATCGTAAATCAGTTGATGAGGTTGTAAATTTTCATCGACTGAGATGGTTGGGCCACGTGTTACACATGCCTGAACACCGATTACCACGACGCACAATACTCACTAGCGTTGGAGACGGTTGGAAGGAAGTTAGGGGTGGCCAAACCAAAACGTGGCATCAGTACACAAAGTCACTAACTTCTGGTCTGAGCCATGTTGGTAGATGCAGACTACTTGGTTGGGGTCCGCGTGACTATCGTAACCAATGGTTGGGGACTGTGGGTGACATGGCTCAGAATCCATCACGATGGTGTAGGTGTATACACTCTCTGTCTTCCCTTAAACTAAGAGATTAAAATCGCCTCATATCTTTCTACGTACTAAATCTTTCTTCCTGTACTATATCTTTACATGCCTGGTCCTACGTTGTAGCTGACTGACTAATTGAGATCACAGGTTTGAACCCCACTCCTCTTTGTATGGTCTAGATAACCAGGTTACATTACTAGTCATCATTTATTAGAGAATTATTGTTACTCACAAAGACAAGTACACCAATCCGTACTTGGTTACTGACTTGAAATGAACGATAAAAGTTAAGTCTCTATTGTGTATATAGTCATACTTACTTACTTACTTACTTACGCCTGTTACTCCCAATGGAGCATAGGCCGCTGACCAGCATTCTCCAACCCACTCTGTCCTGGGCCTTCTTTTCTAGTTCCATCCAATTCTTGTTCATTTTTCTCATGTCTATTTCCATTTCTCGGCGTAATGTGTTCTTTGGTCTTCCTCTTTTCCTTTGGCCTTCAGGATTCCATGTGAGGGCTTGTCTTGTGACGCAGTTGGGTGCTTTCCTCAATGTGTGTCCTATCCACTTCCAGCGCTTCTTCCTGATTTCTTCCTCCGCTGGGATCTGGTTTGTTCTCTCCCACAGTACGTTGTTGCTAATAGTGTCCGGCCAACGGATCTGAAGTATTTTGCGTAGACAACTGTTAATAAACACCTGTATTTTCTGGATGATGGCTTTCGTAGTTCTCCAGGTTTCTGCCCCATACAGTAGAACTGTCTTGACATTTGTATTGAAAATCCTGACCTTGGTGTTGGTTGACAGTTGCTTTGAGTTCCAGATGTTCCTCAGTTGTAAATATGCTGCTCTTGCTTTGCCGATCCGCGCCTTCACATCTGCATCAGATCCACCCTGTTCATCAATGATGCTGCCCAAATACGTAAAGGTTTTTACATCTTCCAAATCTTCTCCGTCAATTGTGATTGGATTGGTGCATTCTGTGTTGTATCGGAGAATCCTGCTTTTCCCTTTGTGTATATTGAGACCTACTGCTGCTGAGGCTGCTGCCACACTGTTCGTCTTCTCCTGCATCTGTTGTTGCGTTTGGGATAGAAGGGCCAGATCGTCTGCGAAGTCTAGATCATCCAACTGCATCCTAGATGTCCATTGTATCCCGCGCTTCCCTTCAGACGTTGACGTCTTCATGATCCAGTCGATCACCAGGAGAAAGAGAAAGGGTGAGAGTAAGCAACCTTGCCTAACACCGGTCTTCACTTCGAACGACTTTGTCAACTGTCCTCCATGCACAATTTTGCAGTGTAATCCATCATATGAGTTCTGTATGATATTGACTATCTTCTGAGGCACGCCGTAGTGTCGAAGAAGTTTCCATAGTGTTGTTCTGTCCACGCTATCAAATGCCTTTTCGTAGTCAATGAAGTTGATGTAGAGTGATGAATTCCATTCAATTGATTGTTCCACAATGATCCGTAGAGTTGCGATTTGGTCTGTACACGATCTATCCTTACGGAATCCTGCCTGTTGGTCACGAAGTTGGGCGTCTACGCAGTCCTTCATCCTGTTTAACAATACCCTGTTGAAGACTTTTCCCGGTATTGAGAGAAGAGTGATGCCCCTGTAGTTATCACACTTGCTGAGATCGCCTTTCTTCGGTATTTTGATCAGAAGTCCTTCTTTCCAGTCTGTTGGTACTTGTTCCTCATCCCAAATCTTATTGAAGAGAATGTGGAGTATCCTTGCAGTTGCCGCTACGTCTGCTTTTAGTGCCTCTGCTGGGATGTTGTCCGGTCCTGCTGCTTTGCCACTCTTGATTTGTCTGATGGCCATGCTGATTTCTTCAATTGTTGGTGGGCCAACATTGATTGGGAGGTCCGTGGGTGCTGCTTCGATGTTGGGTGGGTTCAGTGGAGCTGGTCGATTCAAGAGTTCTTTGAAGTGTTCTACCCACCTGTTTTGTTGCTCTTCAATGTTGGTGATTACCTTGCCTTCCTTGCTTTTCACTGGTCGTTCTGGTTTGCGGCGATTTCCAGAGAGTTTCTTTGTCGTGTCATACAATTGTCTCATGTTTCCTTCTCTTGCAGCCTTTTCCGCCGTCGTTGCTAAATCTTCCACATATTTACGTTTGTCGGTTCTGATGCTCCTCTTCACTTGTTTGTTTATTTCCGTGTATTCAGCTTGTGCCTTGGCTTTTTCTGCTCTTGTTCGACTGGTATTGATTGCTGCCTTCTTGTTCCTTCTTTCTTGAATCTTATCCAGTGTATCAACAGTGATCCATTCCTTGTGGTGGTGCTTCTTGTGACCCAGGACCTCATGACATGTTGAAGTGATTGCCTCTTTGATCCCCTTCCAGTTGCTCTCCACAGTAGTTCCTTCTCCATTGAGTAGATCATGAAAGGCCTGGAACTTGTTGCTGAGGACTATCTTGAATTTGTTGAGTTTGTTAGTATCCTGGAGAAAGGCCGTATTGAACTTTTGTGATATTGTCCGCCCCGTTGTCCAGTGCTTCTTGAGTTTCAATTTCATCTTGGCGACCAGCAAGTGATGATCTGATGCTATATCAGCTCCTCTCTTGGTTCTCACGTCCTCTATAGTCCTCCTGAACGTTTTGTTGATGCAAATATGGTCGATTTGGTTTTGTGTGGTGTGATCCGGTGAAGTCCATGTGGTTTTGTGTATGCGTTTATGTGGGAATATGGTGCCGCCTATGACCAGCTTATTGAAGGCACATAGATTTGCAAATCTCTCACCATTTTCGTTTCTTTCTCCCAGTCCGTGTCGTCCCATGATGTCTTCATATCCAGTGTTGTCCGTTCCAACCTTGGCGTTGAAATCTCCCATCAGAATGGTCAGGTCCTTTGTTGGGCACTTCTCGACGATTGACTGCAGCCTATTGTAGAATTGATCTTTAGCGTCTTCATTGTAGTCGTTGGTAGGCGCATAGCATTGGATGATGTTCATTGAAATGCCCTCTTTCTTTGTTTTGAACGAGGCTTTGATGATCCTTGGTCCATGAGATTCCCATCCTATAAGTGCATTTTGCGCTTGTTTGGACAGCATCAATGCAACTCCTTGTGTATGTGGTGCATTTTCTTCTTCATGGCCGGAGTATAACAGGAGCTCTCCTGTAGTTAGTCGTTGTTGTCCAACTTGTGTCCAATGTGTTTCACTGATCCCAAGTACCTCTAGGTTGTATCTTCTCATTTCTGCAGCAATTTGGAAGGCTCTTCCGGTGTCCCACATTGTACGAACATTCCATGTACCTAAATAAATGGTCGCTCTGGTTGTCAGAAGGGGCATCGGCCTCGTAACTTCCGAAGGAATTCGGCTTTCATCATGAGGCGTCATAATTCTTCTAAATGAAGACCTTCTGACTCCCAGGGCAGAGTTTAAAAGGTTTGAATAATTTTTTCTGGTTAGCGTTTTTTTAGCGAGTTAGTTTTCTACGGGATGGGGACGCTAACCCCATGCCCAACCCTCCTCCTTTATCCGGGCTTGGGACCGGCAGTAGCCCCCGGAGGGACTCCAGGCGGAGTTGTATATAGTCATAGGTATGGATATATTGCCCTTTTTTATCCTGTTAGCTTGTTCGCTTCATATTAAGTGTACAGGAGGCAATCCTTGGCCTGATTTAGTCAGGGAGCAGTCGATCAATAAAAAGAAATCAGAGTTTATTTAGTTATTTGTTGAATTAATTTTTGTCAACTCTCAAAACATATCCTAGTAAACACAATACTATAATTCAGATCTATTACTAATAATAACAATACAAGTTTCTCGGGTTTATTCAAATGGTCGTTTGTTTTCATGATGTTCAGTAGTATGTTTGGATATTTTCATCTCACTTGTTTCTTATCGGCTGAATTTACTGTGTTAATATTTTATAATTTAAACTGAAACTCTGTCATTATGCCCACTCACTCAATAGACTGTATAGAATAGTACCAACCATTAGGGCAACAAGTTCAGACCCTAACTTCTTCCTACTTCAGTTAGAGGAGACAAGGGTAGTAACAATAATCTGTCTAAACAAGATTAAACGACCGTTCTTTAATACACATACAAGTCAACTAAACACAATCTCTTTACTTTGAAAACTTTGGTCTAAAAAACTATAATTCCACTACAGTTTCGCTTAATATGATTTTAGTTGGGATGATACATACACTCATTAATATTGATTTTTGCTTCAAGTTAATAATTCCCTTTTGTTCTCGTCATGGTTGTTACTATTACTTTATTAGATTCTCCAGGAATCACGCAAAATACTAAATAATACTGATATTAATTCAGAAACTAAAAATGATACAATAGGACAAGGTAAGTATATAATAATAATAATAGTTACTAGCAATTTTTGTCTAACAACTAAACCTTCATTGTTTTACATCACAAAATGACTTTAGTTAAGCAGCCATTGACGAGATTCCTCAGCATTGTCATCAACAACTCTGCTGCAGATTGAACGTAAGATTTTCAGATCTTGAAACGAGCTGTTAACCCTCAAATCAGCGAGTTGGCATCCAGTGACTTACATTTCTGACTTCGGTCAGACTAAGACCAACCCATGGTGCTCAACTAAAAAATTCAACAATCTTCACAACCCCCATTATACTGAAGAAATTTGAATTTTAACAACATTAGTCCTTTCATAAGACGTTGATCTTTACATTATCGATTCGCTATTATCTGCATAAATGATCCTTAGACATAGATACGTTGGCGGTGGCCATTCACAGCCAAAGTCATCAGAACAGGCTGCTTTAACACCTGGAGAATAATTAGAAAGCTCACTTATATATGAATTTGGCTTTAATAATGTTGCTCAGAACAACAATCAATGTTCCACCACTGAACAATTTCTCTAAGAAAACTCAATAATTCGAAAATTCTCCACTTACTACAAATCTCTATCAATTTGGTATGCAAAATACACATCTCTTCATCAGGTGCACAAGTATGAGCCACACTGTAATTTTGAAGGCTAACGATACTACCTGGTTGTCCGAATCGAAGGAAATGACACAGGGTTCGAAGCTAGGACTTAGCGGCTAAAATTCGAACGCCGTAACCACTAAGCTATCGTTTTTCAGGTTTTATATATATATATATATATATATATATATATATATAGTGTTACGTCCTGAAGCCCGTCAAATATCATGCAACAAAATCTCCAATTAGAATACCGACTTGTATGACCTTGTTCCTGTGCTAAACCAATGACACATCAACCAGCACAACAGCCTTGCGTCAACTCTTAACACTTATCAGTCCTTCTAGCCTAACCCTACCCGTTGAGTCCAGGACATAATCCCAGCCTCCACTATATAAATCGTATATTTCAGATATACGTAGTTTATATACAAGCAGACGCGTTCCCATCACACCATAAAATGAAAAATAATTATTATATACAAGATCAAGCCAAAAGTGGTTGTGAGTGTGAAAGACTGTAACCAATAGATTGGCAATAACTTAAGAATAGTAAATCGTATAATAGTGGCCAATGAGTCAAATGAAAGCTTATAATAAGAGAAATATAAATATATATAATCCAGTTACTTAACAGTTATACAATAAGATTACATGTATTATAATAACGGTCCATAAGTAGTTCCCAGACGTTACCCATAATTTAGTCTTCTTCGGACACAACAAATTCCCTTTCCTTCGAACTTCCTTATTTATTAAAATTATGTTGTAATTAGTTATTGTTTATCCGTTTCCTTTTTCTTTTCTAAAAAAAATTTCTTTTCAGCTTTCGCATTAACTTTTGAAAATACAGCTGTACTATGTGATTTAATTTTACGTTTTCCTGATGTTTATCATTCACATTATGATGGAATTAATGAGATATCTATATTATTAAAATGGTCATTTAATTTATTACGTGAATCACAATTAATGAGTAAATCAGATGAAAATATTTTACATTTAACTGAACAAGAATTAAATTTTGTAATCAGAGATTCAAATTATGTAAATGAGTTTAGTTCAGATCAGGTAAATTTATTAAAAAAATTATTAGTTTAGGGGTTGTGGTGATTGTTAAGTTTTTTATTGAGATCATGAACCGATTGATGATCCCGCGAGCGGGATCGTGGATGCGCACTGCTGAAGAGTCATACAATAGGACGAAACGGTCGTCCAGTGCTTCCAGGTTTTCAATAGTGGTCTAACATCAGTTGGTTCATGATCTCAATCAAAAAAATTATTATCTGATGATTTATTTTTCAAGTAATTTGTTAGTTGTACAAGTGTAATTCGGAATTTTTTTATTTTTGGTATGAAATATTTACAGTACCTGTTATGTACTACTAATCATAGTTCGAAAACCAAGTACAACTGAACAATTATTTTGTGTTTGTACAAAATTTATCATCTTTGAAATAGTGGAGATCTGTGGCTCAAAATGGTAATTTTGTTAAAGTTACATTTTTTTGAGCTTGGTAGTTTAGTTGTGAAGTTTTCATTGTCATTTTAGACAACATCATCAGCGCGAACTTAAAATAGAAGTGATCTGTTCAAATTTCTCCACTTATGACTAACAGCTAGTTCTGTTTCTCTGATTTTAATCATCTTCCCCTCTGTCCTGTTTCAAATTTATGCTGATAATGTTGTCTAAAAAGGCAATGAAGGTTTTATGATTAAGGTATGCAGCTCAGAGAATTCAGGGATACCAAAAAGAACCCTTCAGTAATGTGCTTCCACGACCCTTCAGATCTTGGTACCGAATAAGTTATCTTCAGACCACTGATTTGGTTATCCAATGGTTCAAGTATTTAATTCCAGTAGGTTCGCTCAATAATATGAGACCATTATCTAATACCATCGGGGATACCTGTTGTGTATCACCAGCATTATCAAACTTTGAGGGACATTCTCGGAGTTCTACTCAGTAACGATCATATGATGACTCTTGTTATCGGTGTAGAGGGAAGAGTGATGCTACTTACAAGTTGAACAATCTCCGTAGATTATCTATGTTGTAAAGGGGAATATTATTCTCAGTTAGAAATTCACTAGTCCAAAAAGACTAGTTTATGACTGATAAACCAGTTATTTTCAACATTGAAAGTGACTAGCTGATTGAAATATCAACATTGTTTAATGTGTTATCTTTTCTAGTAGGTATGATCGTGAATAGTTTGTTCCCTTTGTTTCTTTCAAGGATTGTAGTGCAGTGTTTAACGACCCCGTTTCATATGCGTTAATTGAGACGATTGGATAATATTTTATTAGGTCTTTACACATGTAAATTGAGACTTAAAACAGAGTTGTATCGGAATTAAAACTCTTTAGTACATATTACCGGTTATACGCGTATTCACTTGACGAGACTACCTCTGTGATAAAATGTGTTAGCTGCCGTGCTGAGTATTTTCAGCTCAAATCGCCTAGTAGTTATGGAATCCCCAAAGAATTAAAAATATCCAGTGAACCTAATCAGCAATTACCAAAAATCTTAAACTTAAAAGGTTAGTTTGTTGACTGAAGTAAGCCAGTCAAAGACATAATTATGTTCAAAACTAGTGTTCGTTGATCATTTGAAATAGTGTATACTATGAATTTTTATAAAAATGGATTGTATCATACATAAATTACAGGACGTAAAATGCATAAACAACGTAATTTGACATGTCTTAGTGACTGATTGTCATCAGAATTCAAATTTTGGTGGTTTTTGAGCACAGATCGAGGAAAATCTATCCTTTCAAGTGAAATCGTCAAAGTACATTACATATCAAACAAATTGATTTCAAAGTTAGTGGTCTAAAATTGTGTTAACTACAGACCTAATGATATTAGTTAGTTCAATTTTATCTCGAAACACGAATTCACATCACTGAGTAGTAGTTATGATAAATGGAAGTAATTGCAGCATTTAGTGTAATATATGAACTACTAGTACCCAGACCTGCCCAATACATACTTTAGTAGTCACGAATGTACCAAGAAACGATGATAATAAAAAGACCATACACACATGTAAATGTATTGTATCGTAATTGGAATTAAGCATTCAATAAAGTACAAAACAATCGTCGTTTTATACAAACATATCAGTAATCCCATACTATGACAAAACAGCTAAGCTACTCAGTTTGTGTGTGTGTTGCTTGATTTTCATTGGTATCTCCCCTAACTGACTACAGTTTGTTTTCCGTTTAAATTTAAATCAATCTGCCTGTTTCTTTTCTTCACCTCGTATTATCGCTTTATTTATTTATTTCTTTTTATAGAAAATGATTAGAGAGAAACTGAGAGTAGAATCAGCACGTAAAGCGAAAAAATCAAGTGTTAAACGTGTCAAGAAACCTCGACTTACACCAGTTCGAAGTGAACTCTAATAGTTTATTTAAATGTCCCCTATACATATATGTACACAAATGCATATGTATATATCATTATGATTTTTTTCTAACTTTCCGTTTTCCTTCATAATTCACTACTTTTGGTGGTATCATGGGTGGTGCTCTTATCGACATAATCTTATTATTATTATTGTTTATAAATCTCTCTGTGCGTGCTTGCCTAGTTGAATGTAGTACTATTCAAGGAATTTCAAAGTGTTCATATCGAAACATATCTATCATCAATTAATAATGAAGTTTGTGGTCATTGATTACAAATAACTATTTTTATGTCTGTGCCTGGGACACTGAAATTCCTAGTTGCTTTTACTAATTCTGAACATAAGCATACAAACTTACATTCAATTATTGTCTGTTTGCTTTTTGGGTTTTGCTATTACTTGTAAAATTTGATAACTTCATTTGACTCTTGTCACTCTTCAGTGTACTGTGTAGTATATAACTTGTTGGATTAATATAAAATTCTGTTTGTTAATTGTTTCTGTCTTGTTTTTTCTTTTTAATTTTCTTAAATATCTACTTGTTTTATGAAATAAAGTTTCAAAATGCACTCATATTTGTTCCGTTTGTAAGTGAAGTAAAAGATATTTCAACAAAGAAAAATTGTTTGTTAATCATGTTATTTTCTAAAATGTTGTACATTCATATCTATAGGTTAATTTTATAAATAAAACAGGAATTTGTTGTACCGGTAATGAAGTTACCAAAAATTAATCTAACATATTTCCAAGTCAGAAGAGGTTTTGTGGAGATTTTAGAAATTTCACTAGTTGAAATCATGAGTCAATTGAAGTTAGACCATCATTAAAAACCTGGAAGCACTGGACGACCATTTCGTCCTAGTGTGGTACTCCTCAGCAGTGCGCATCCACGGTTCCGCCCCCCGCTAAATTCGAACCCAGGACCTTCAATCTCGCGCGCGAATGCTTAACCCGTAGATCACTGAGCCGGCATCCAACGGTGTCAGTGTCTAACTTCAACCAATCCACGAAATCGGGTCATTGTCTTCAGTCAGTGGATATCTCACAACAGACCTGGTTGAACTCCACTGGTCACGGTTTCTCACTAGAACTCCAGGAAATACCTCTTGAAGCCAGTCACTAGTGAGCATATGATGATTATTATCAGAAAGGGGGTTTCGTAGAGATTGTAGTAATTTTTTGATTATTGGTATTGTTTGTTCGAATCTTCCCATTGATGCTCAGAACTGTAATTGGCCAGTCTCTTATTGGCATATGTGCTAGCCACCAACCATCTTAGTTTACAATGGTATTTAGTTCTTTTAATTTATACGAAGGCTGATTATGATAGTGAGGAGCTACCAGCTGGACATTCCACCTATGATCGTCTTTAATACTCTGGACCAATAGATAGATGGCTACTATTAACATCACTACAGCTTATGAAACAAAAGACAATTGATTTGAAAATTTGTAAGGTTTCTATTTCAAAGTGTTAATTGTGTTAAGAAAATAAAAACGGTTTGCGTAAGTCAAAAGCAGCGTTAAATATGAAATGTTCTCAAAAAGGGTCTTAATATGATTTTGAAGTTGTTATACAGGAGGATCTAATATGTAAACGAGGCTTGTAATCATTAAAATATATGTCTAGAATTCTAATCGATAGATAGGATTCAGTGATACCATATGGTAGTGATAGTTAGTTCCATCAATTTTCTTGGTGGTGTTTTGTTTCTTGAGCTAGATGGTTTGATCGTGAAGTCTTCATTGTCTTCCTGGACAAAAATTTCAGACAGAAGTGAGGTATTCGAGTTCCTCCACAGGTTACATGGTAACAGAAGTCAAAACAGTTACCCAATAGAATACTCTTTGTTTTATAATAACATAACACTTCTATATATAAAGTATTGAACATAAGAACAGACACGATTAGCAGTCATTTAACAAATACACAAGTGGAGAATATGCCAAATGCAGGTCATTCGCACCTAATTGTTAGGCGTAGTTCACTACTCGTCATTATTAGATATATACTGTACAGTGAATGGATCTCTAAAAATCGGTTAACCAAAAGTGAGATTGATTTTCTTTAAATTTTGTTCATTCAGAATTATGACATATCGATCTGTATAGGTTCAAAAGTTGCAGAAACTAACCTATCGGTCTATATCTAATAGTGTCAACAATAGAATAATTTCATTAAATCCCTATGCATATGTAATGAGTACAAGGTCAATCATTGTGTCACATGGTTTAATATTTGACCCGTAAATAATTTATCCTAGTCCAGATAATCATTTTTATAAACATTTTGGTGAACTATGCATATGTTTTTTTTGTTTTTACAAATAACAGAACACAAAGAATTAAATAACAAGGTTTTGGCCACTATCATTGAAAAGTAAGTTCATAGTATGTTCTTCAAAAGAGGTTCCGGTGAATTACTATCATGATAGTTTAATGTTTGAAACAGTTGACTTTCAACCAACACTGGAGTACCTAATTTGGTTTAGGTAATTAAATAGTTGTCAAACAAGCAGTATTAGTCAAAGTTGAGTACCTAAACCTGTACTTGGTGAATTAGTTACCTCCAGTAGTTATATTCAACATGTTTTCGAATATTTATCCCAGGTTCTATGTTGCTTATGTCTATAACTGATTACAAATGCACATTCCCGATTAGAAATCAATAAACTGAAAGCAAAACAAGTTCAATATAATCGAAATACCCAATTGTTTCCCTTTTAATTATATTACCCACCTCAATCTAGTATTCAATAGCTCGAACAGTATTTCCATTTAACTGTAATCTAACGAAAAATCGGTGTGACTATTACTTATGGACGAACCAGTCAGATATAAGATTTTGACGCAAAATTCATTCATCCATTTGGCTAAATGGCGTTTTGGCATTATAGCTAATGTCAGTTCGTGATGAAAATCCTAAATCTAATTACCAACCTTAACCATCAATTGTAAATCATAATTCTAATTTAAAGCAATTAGCCCCTTTTATAAAATTTTATAATTACTCACAATGGTTCATAACCCTCATTTAGTCGTAGTTGTTAGGGGGATACTCTCAAGGTTACTTTAGTTTCGTTCAAAAATCGTCCATAAATTATAGTCTCACCGAAAAATCTTCTTAAACATTATATCAATTGTCCAGTTTTCATTTTGCAGAGAAAAACAAAATAACTTGAAAAATAAGAACTGTGCAAAATGTTATTTCGTTTTTAAGAATTTCCAAATTATGTTGTTTGAAAGAATGAAAATCTTTTTCAGAAATATTATTTGCTTCTTCGGTATGATACCAACGGGGTACAGAACCTGCTGAAATATATATGCACGTATTAACTGTGTACACTGGTGGTGTATATGTATTGACTACTTATCTTATATATATATATCCACAGTATATTTATAAGTACGCCTACACACCGGCCTTTCATTTTTTTTATTATTCTATTATGTATACATTAGTTGTCTATATCCCTCTAGTTTTCTGAGTGTTGATCAATAATGGCACAAAATAACTGTACATATTAACACGATTAATGGACAGTCAATATTGTTTCTTTGTGTGATTGCTATTAGTTGGTATTTAATTATCGCTTTCAGGAATTAAGTGATTAGGCTGTGTACAATAAACCTTTTTATTGACTGTTATGATAAATAGAATGCGTGGTTTATATACATACACACCTTTGATCGTTTGATGACCGGAAGGAATTGGCAAGAAACCATAGTCCCTGAACACAAATATTGACATTGGTTGGTGGTCAGTGCGAATTCAGTAACTAATATCATGTCTGTCTAACTCCTGTAAAACTTAACTTTTAATCATCATGTCACAAGTTCAAACCTAATTTCATTTGCATACATTTAAATAATCTTGAGATAATGGTAACACTTTTATATGGTTGATAGTGATTATAGTATGATGATGAAGATTTATAGTTCATCTGGATGATTTTGATGGTGTTGCGTTCAATGAACTAGATGGCTTCACGAGCTCAGCTTTTATTGTTGTTTTGAATGAAATCAACACGTACAAGTGAGTTGTCTAACAACTTCACATACGCTAAGTCTATCTGTTCTACAAACACTATCTGTCAATGGTTGTTTTCAGAAGCATATAACAAATAATTTGTAATGGGGTTCTTGAAGTAGTGACAGTAATTAAATCCCTTGGCTTTCAACCAGTAAACCAAAGGTTCAAATCTTCTTCCTACTTTGCAGTCAGATGCCATCAGTAGCCCTTATAAAAATGATCTAACTTAAAATTTAGTACAGGAATCAATACTTGGTTAATAAGTTCCATATCAACGTGAACTGTGACATAAATAAAGTTAATACAATTTACCACCTAGGTAATCAAACGTAATATTGAAAAATAAGGAAAATCATAAAGAAATTTATTTGATGTTTAAATAGCATGATTTCGTATTGGCTCAACTTATCAGAACTTATATAAGTCGTCAATCATTTAATAATGAAATTCATACCTGTTTGACAAGTCATTAGATGTTTAAACTTAGTAACTTAGTAGATAATGAGATCGCGCATGAAGTAATAAGTACTGCATATAGGTTTTAGTGTATAAACATCAACACTGAGATGCGGATACAACTAGCTGACAAGTCCCGATAAGATGAAATATACATCCCTAATTGTACTGTTAGTCACAGTCTAAATAGACTGGAAATTTGTAATCAAAGGTAACATCGTAACAGTCCACACAGGATCCAAATATACCAGAAAATATTGATTAATTAACGTACTTAATATCAATAACAACGGGAAAATTCAAACCTTTATAAAAAGTTAGATAAATTATATAACTTCACGAATGAACTCTTTTAAAAGGATTCCTTTGGTGAATTAATTAATTTCTGTGAAAATGTTTACTTCAAAATAAGACGAATGTTATTGGTTAGGAAGAAAATGAAGTCGAAAAGTGAGTAAATCTATGATATGAAAACTGATTTCAAACTATCATCATTCAAAGTCTTCAATATTTAGTTTTCAATAGATCACAGGCACTAATCAAAGAAAATTAAGTATGTTTAGAAAAATCAATTAGAAAAAAGTACTTGCGCCTACTATCTAATCAATCGATATTAATTAACTTCAACGTTAAGTAGTAATGAGTATTCAAGTAGACTGTAACCTTGTCACGTTTAGTATCTGAATAATTGACAACTATAAACTAACAAATAAATGTTTCTGACGTTTTCAACTTCAAAATGTATAATTTACAATGAGTAGTTATTACTATCATTTTTCTCTGACTTTTATTAATGATAGGACTCTATCGATCAAATTGCGGTGCGAAAAACATTAGTTTAAATGATTCAAAATTGTATGAAATGTTTTTTTGTAATCTAGTATTTGGAACCAGTTGAAATGAACTTCTAATTGACCTAAGTTTTGAGTTCGTTTACATTTATCAATAATGTATATTAATAGACATAAGGGAACTACTACTTTCCATGGAATTTGAACTTATATCCTCCATTTGTGTAATCTAAAAATTACTTTGCTTATTGGAAAAAATGTTATCATAAAAAGAATATCATCAGTTGGGTTTTGAATGGCGGTCTAACACTGATCAATTCATGATCTTAATTAAGAACTAAAAAATATTAATAATCCTATACTGATATTTACCTATGAACATAGATAAGCAGTTACAAACTACGCAATATGTCATCATTAATATCGATTGACGTAGGTCAACTATGGATGTCAACTCTGGAGTTATGGCTCAAGGAAAAGTTAAAACTGTTAGGGAATTTTTAGATTCTTGATATTCAGGTCAGTTTGTGATCAGCTGATATGTTGATCTAGATCCAATTCGCCAACCCCTGAGAATTAGGTCAATCAGTCATGTGGTAAGAAGT